CTCTATAATACTCCTTTACATGAAACAAAAAGGTCTCATCTGAGAGCACTCTGAATTCTGGGGAATGCATTGCTTCTGTATCCTCTGGCATACCTGTGTTTCAAGGTGCTTGCTACACTCAGGAGCCGTGGACTGAATTTTCAGTGCACCCTCCATGCCTCTCCTCTGAGGCTGGGGATATGGGGAGGGTGGCATGTTGACTAATGAGAGACATAAACCTGAGGTAGGGCCACAATGCCAAGGAGCAGGGAAAGCAGAGATGGAGCAGCATGAGACAATCCACTTCTGTGAATGCATGAGACAAGCCTTCTCTGTACCTGAAAAGCGAATACTGGGGAATGGATTTTCTCATCAGATACTGTAGTGCAGATCACACACACCTCAAGCTCATTGTGGCATCACTGGCTCCCCATTCTTACTGGGGTGGGCTTCCTGCTGATCCCTGACACAGAAGAGGGCTCTTAGGAAATCATGCATCCTATTGTTCAGAGAGTAGCCAGGATGCTGATGCTTGGCACTGCAGAGCTGTAACCATGGGTACTGTGAGATGACTTTTTTTCAGGATAAGAGTGACTCAAACAAGAGAGGTAAATTCTGTACTTGTAGATGACCTCGTGTTTCATTTGGGAACTCTGGAAGATTTGCCTTTAGGATCTGGATATTGCTTTCTAACTAACAAGATGTCAATGACAGATGTCAAGAGACTAGTCAAATATAAAGTAGACTGTATATACAAATATACAGTTATATATCCACATGAGTGGAGGACCCCAGGAGAATCAGGAATTGTGGTTATTACCTATGCCTTTGGCACATTAAGAACCCACTGTTCAGGATATATCAGACACCTGCCTTTAGTGAAAGATCCTAGGACAGGTCTTGAGCAGTCAGTGATGACTTTGCAGTAGAGGAAAAACATACTCTAGATTCTGGACATGGTTTTCCAGTGGGACTTCCAGGATGTAATGGAGGTTTCTGGAAGTGGGTACCTGGTGATGGTCACTGCAAAAATACAATACACAGACAGAAAGGACAAAACACCAATAGATGAAGCAAGGTGAGTTGTTGTGGCCCTAGACTCAAACTGTGGTTAGTATCTGTGAATGGACATGAGAAGGGAGAGCTGGTGTGTGTAATATGAAAAAATAAAAGACCCAGAGACAGATATTGGGGTTCACGCTTCAAGCAGAAGACCAGAAAAACAAAGTGTCTGTTCTCGCTCTACCAAAGATTGTTATGGCTGATCCATGAGGTCTCACAAACTTCAGAATGAAGCCACTCCTCAGTGTGGCTGCCGAATCCTGAGCCTTCAATGTCCTCCTGTCCTCAATGTGTTTGGAGAATGAATGACTGATACTGTCTCCTGAAGACCCTGCTCCTGTCTTTTATGCCCAACCAGTGCTGCAATTATACATGTATGATCCTAGAAGCTGAGGTCATCTTTGTGTGAGTTGTTTCTCTTTAGACCTTTATCAATCTTTTGTAGACCTGGGTGGTCTTGAACTCAAAGAGATTCTTCTACCTCTTAATCATGAGTACTAGGATTAAAGGTGGGATCCTCCAAGTTCTAGCTTCTGACTGCTGAGATTAAAAGTGTGAATTACCACTGTATGACCTCTATAGCTTGATTCTGATGTTGTTTTCTAAATCCGCAGGCAAGCTTTTATAAATCATAGATAATGTATCACCACATGTGTGTGCAAAATCTTTTCCTGGGAGAAACAATACCCTGAAAACAACTCAAGTCCAAGTGGATCAAAGACCTCAACATCAAACAAGATACACTGAACATGATAGAAGAGAAAGTGGGGAATAGCCCATTGAAACAGGAGACAACTTCCTGAAAATAACTCCAGTAATGCAGGCACCAATATCAACAAATTATAAATGGAACCTCATGAAATTGAGAATCATCTTTAAGACAAGCGACACTGCCCAGGGGACAAAATGGCCACCGATAGAATGATAAAATATTTTCATCAACTCCATATCCAACAATGTCTAATATAAAAAATATATAATGAAGAAAAGAAACTAGACATCAACAAACCAAATGATCTAATTTAAAAAGTGGGGTAGAAGATCTGAACAGAGAATTCCCAACAGAAGAATCTTAAATGGCTGAGAACACTTAAATGATCAACATCCTTAGCCATCTGAGAAAGGCAAACCAAAATGACTCTGAGACTCCATCTTATACTTCTCAGTAATGTTAAGGTCAATAACATATGTGACAGCTCTTGTTTCTGTGTATGTGGAACAAGGGGAACACACCTCCACTGATGGTGAGACTAGAAACTTACACAGCCACTATGGAAATCAGTATGGCTGTTTCTCAGAAACTTAGGAGTTGATCTACCTCAATACCTAGCTCTACCAAGGGTACTACACATTACCACTAGGCACTTGCTCAACTATGTTCATAGGGGTTTAATTCACAGGAGTCGGAAACTGAAAACAACATAGATGTTATGAAAATTGTGGTACATTTACACAATGGAGTATTACTCAGCACCTTAACAACAAATGAAAATTGCAGACAAATGGTTGGAAGTAGGAAAAAAAGCATCCGCAGTGAGGTATCTGAGACTCACAAAGACAAACATGGTATATACTCACTTCATAAGAGGATTTAGCTGTAAAGTAAAGGATAATGATGCTACAATCAAAGGAGAGCTCAAGGGGGAAGCATGGATCTCCCTGGGAAGGGACAATAGAATAGAATTTGCATGTGAAATGGGGTCAGATGAGGATGAGAGCAGGAGGTATTAGATGAGGAGGGAGGGACAGAAGGAAAAAGTGTAAGGAGAGATGACTGGAAATGGGGAGCATTTGATGGGCAATGTCGAAATCTGTGCAGTGGAAACTACCTGCAACCGATGAGGGTGACTCTAAAGAGGAGTCCTAGTAATGTAGGATACAGAGGCTTGAAGTGGACACTTCCTTAATGAAGCAAGGCTTCCATTGGGGGGACTGGGACACCAATCCAACCACAAACCTACAACCCAGTCTGTATTGCCTGTAAGATGTGTTGGAGTATAGGTGGCACAGAACATGTGAGAGTGGCCAACCAATTACTGGTCCAAATTGAGACCCACACAATGAGAGAGAGACCAGTTATACTTCCTAGGAACCTAGGATCCTAGGTCTGGGAACCACAGCTGGAGACCCTTAGGATAGAACCAAACATGAGTGGCAAAAATAAATTGAAATGGAATAAACCTCAATTGATTCCTAATGAAGTTCTGCTATAGTCATATATCATTAACTAGCCCAATTGTCAACAGAGAGGCTTCACTCAGCAACATATGGGAGCAGACACAGATACCTACAGTCAGATATTAAGCGAAGCCATTGGCATAGACCATGTCTTCAACAAGCTCATATAAGAATACTTTCCAAAATTAAGAAAAGACACACGCTACAAACACAATGAGAACACAGATCACCAAAGAGTCAACACCAGAAAAGAAAATCCCCACAGTACATCATAGTTAAAGCACTAAGTATACACAGCAAAGAACGTATGCTGAAAGGTGTAAGAGAAAAACTGCACATCACATATAAAGGAAACTTTAACAGAATGACAGCTGTTTTCTCAATGGAAACAACAGAAGGGCCAGGAGCAATGCATTTTAGACCTACAAAGTTATGACTTCTGTGTTAAATTTACTCACTCAGCAAAACTATATGCCATGATTGAACCAGAAAGGACAAATTTCCATGATATTGACAGCCTAAAGAATTTTTCCCACACCAAAACAGTACTTTATTTTGTAAATTTTTTACCCATTATTACTCCCAAGTTATATATATATATATATATACATATATATATATATATATCAACTGTTAAGTGTAACAGATGATGAAAGTTTAGTTAGAAGGGGATGCACCTGGAAAATAAATTTCTTAAACTCTATATACACATTTCAAAACTGCTGAGTCCCAAGTCCATTTACGAACTCTAGGGCTGCCAGAATCATGTGCAGCACATTAAAACTACACTGTTTGAATAGTTTATAATTCTGTACAAATCAGGCCAAGTAATGTGTCAACCTGTAACAGACTGTGCACTTTATTGAATATGGCAATATAGTCACTCTTTTGAACTTTACGTCATCATTTGCTGTCAAACAATGAAGCAAATCCCAACAGTATATACAAAAACAGCTTTGCATTTACAAAGGATTGTTTCCCATACTGATTAATCCAGGTAGCTAACTCATTGGTTTATGCAACTTTATTGAAAAAAATCAATTACTTGGAGAGCTATTAGTTGATGACTCATCCATTGACAACTTACAACATTTATTCAGTGCTATATTAAACAGTATTGGAAGATAGATTAACTAATAGCTCTAAGCCTCCTAACAATTTAAATGAAAATTACAAAATGTTTTGAGACCCTATTTTGGAATACAAAGGGTGTTTGACTTCCACTTTCCATTTTCTGTAGAACAAGAACAGGTCATTCCTTTATTGACATGCATAAAATACATCACATTTTCTGTTCTGCTGATGCTATAATTCAATACTAATTCTCCAGCCACATCATTTATGAGCATAAAGTCTATCATGTAACAATCTATAACAGTGGAAGGCTTAAACAAGAATGGATGCACTAGAATAATGCTGCTTCCTTTGATGTGACAGTGAGCATCCATCTCCCTCCCCCTCAGATGGTTTATTCAGCACGTTAGAGCAGTGAGGATTGATTTAGTCTCATAACCAAGTTAGAGTGAAGACATTGTTCACATAGTACACATACTCCAGTTTTAAAAAAATTCTGAATCTTGGGCAACTGTTGTCTTGTTGACTACTTTAAAGTTTCTAAAAGCAGTTATTTTCCAAAGCTGGAAGAACTTAAGTCTTCTCAGATGAGCATGTGTATGAATGGAGGGAGGTAAACAAAAAATAAAATAAAAAAAATGAGGTCTGATAGGGGAGCAGCCAGATAAGAAAATTAAAAAGGAACAGTAATTCAAAGCTTATTCCAGATATAATGCAGGTTATTCTGACTTTAAGGTAGCATCACATGGCATACTTCTGAGTCCATTCCCGAGATATTCTGTTGTACTTATCTCTTTCTGTTTTATAGATGAGTGCAATCTCTGACACTAGGGGGTCATCTGAGTTTGGATCACATAGTAGTGAACAAATGGATAAAAGAACTTTAGAAATAGTTAAAGCAGGAGACCGCTGTGATCTTAGAATATCAAGACAAATGCTGCCATTACTGTTAATATTTGGATGATAAATTCTTGTTGTAAATGCAACCTTAGGTGGTTTGAAGGGGTAGTCTGTAGGAAAATGAATAATCAAAAAGAATACACCACCTTGATATGGGCTGTCATTAGGTCTCATAATTGTGGCTTGCCAATGAAACTTGTCATCTCCAACTGGACCTGCAGAACATTGTGCTGGAGGGTCACCGATCAAATCACTAAGCTCCTTATTAATCCGTTTCGGCCCCATACTCTGTGCTTTTTGTCTGGCTCTTCGCTATCCCCATGTGTACCTCAAAGGCCCGGCCAAAAATTCTTGATTATCCTGGTGGTGAGGAAGGATCATCTCTTCTTCTCACACTGGCTCTGCTAGACACAGGCGCTTGGTATGGAGGCAGCAGATCTTGCTAGAACCTCATGGAAGGCTAACCAGAGCTCCCAGCGTAAAGAATTTTATGACTTGTCTACAGACCTAAAAAGTATTGCATGGTGTACATGTACTACCTTCTCCATACCTGTTAGTCAGTTGAAGAGTATTTAGATGGTTTTCATTTCCTAGCTATTGTGAATAGAGTTGCAATGAATTTTAATGAGCAAATATCTGTGGAGCAGGACACTAAGTCCTCTGCACCAGTGACAAAGAGTGTTTCAGCTGGATTCTGTGCTGGATTAATTTTTTTTGGTATTCTCCACCTGATTTTCAAAGTGAATGCAGCAGATTGCTATCCTACTGACACTGAGTGAGGGTTTCCCCCTCATTCCTCTCCAGCATTCATTGTCAGTTGTTAGTTGTTTTGTTGGCCTCAGAAATAATTTACATATTTCAGATAACCTTATATATATGTTTACTTGTATATATTTGTATCTGCTGTGACAGTTGAGCTGACAATGATGCCTCCAATAGTCACAGACTAACAAATACTCCTGTACTAGGCATTAGAAATTTGTTTTTGAAATGTTGGTCCAAAGTGTTCTAGAAACGCTGTGTGGATCATTGCTGTTGCCCTCAGTTGCCTCCTAAGGGTTAAATGTAAGTTCTTATTTTCTGAAGCCACCATGCACTTCACAATATAACTCAGAGGACTTGAGCTGGATCTATCCTGAGGGCATGCACTACAATGACCTGGCCAAATTCAACATTAAAAAAAATTTGAAAGACTCAAAACAAGCCAGGCTGATAGGGTATCATAGTGGGTCAGGACACCTGCTGCCAAACCTGGTGAATTCCATCCTGGGATGTCATGACCCGTATATTTTGGAAATATTTCAACCCAGCCACTTGTTCTGGAGATCCAAGGGTTTCTATTGTCGTTTAGATGTTGGCTAGTGGGCACTGGATGGCCAACCCTCATTAGGACATGGCACTACCCTAAATAACAATAGCTTTGGACCAGGGGGAGTCTACACCCACCCTGAAAGCTGGTTAGACATGCTAGTGTGCAGTGCCTGAGGGCTTGATTACTTGCTTCAAAGAAGTGTCTCTAGGATTAAGAGAAATATTTGCTACCAGCCCTTTATATGTGATAAAAGATGTCTTTTGCCATTGCACCCATCAACATTTTGGTGGTTGCTTAAGATGATGCTACAATAAACTGGGGCCTTCACTATTAACTGATTGCCTTCCCGATATGACCAGGTGTCTCTGTCTCATCTTTAATGCAGTTGGATAGTTAGCCTATCCGGCATCCACACTCTTCCAATCAGGGTCAGACTTGGTGCTCTTTGGCTGGTTCTGATCGCAGTCTCAAAGCATTAGCCCCGCCCAATGTGGGGCTACTACAGATAGAACCCAACACTGGGACCCACAGGGTGAGAGATCCAACTGCTTTGATCACACAGCCTGCCCTGAACACTAACTTTCATAATATCAGATGGGAAATGCAAGCTGATAACGGATGGAGGCAACCAGTAGTCCTACCTAAATGTGACACCTATGAACCACAAAAATGACCAGCATGACAATATACACTAAAAGTGCAATAGTAATCTCATATCTTGACAATAACCAACAGCAGTGTAATCAGACTTAAGGCCTGTTCAACAGGAGGAAATTCACATCTGGTACTGGAAACCTATCCAAGTTCTGAGCTAGTGAGGTCAGGTAGCACACATTAGGACATTCTGTGGCATCTCTAGTAACACAGCATAATTCATAACTGTATTCTAAATACTCATCTGTATTCCCAAGGATAAGTCTGGCTCTCAACCTTCATTGAAGAAGTTTTTCTTTACAGCAGGCAGGGACCACTACAAAGCACCACAACTACTCAAAATACAAAGAACAACTGATACTGATGTTGTTAAAACAAATGGACATATCTCCAGTACAATGCTTGGACCTTGGGCTCAGGGAACATCGTGAGAGTGAAGTAGAAAGGTTGTAAAAGCCAAAGTACCAGGAGTCTGCAGTGAGATTGTGTCTCCTAAAGAGGAGGGTGATGCCTCACACATGGCACCTTACCAATAGGAGTGCCTAGGCACAGGATGAGCAAGTACATTAAATATATAAATGGTAACATAAAAGGAAGAAATCCCAAGGATCCTCACCCCTACAACTACAGATAGCTATGAAGTGCTGAGAGTGGGAGAAACAGTCTTCCCCAGTAATGAGACCCCTAAGTGGTTATTGAAATCCAATGTTTTATTCCTAAAATTATATACATACAAGTAACACTAAACAGTATGCAGCAGGTTGTTTTAAAAAATTATGTATTAATAAATGTGATACATACATTTAAAGAAACAGAGGAGATGAGCCAAGGTACATAGAAGAGTTGTGAAGGAGAAAATCATAGGGGGAAATAACATTTTAACTGAGATATAGATTAGAGATAATACTACATAAAAATGAAATTTTATAACAAGATCTGAAACTATTTCATGAAAACAGATAAATATAAGCTCATATAAGAACTTTCTGAAAAGGGCTGTATAAGCTCAGGATAGAATACTAAAACTTGACAAATAGTATTGTATGAAATGAAAGATATTGTACAACAATAAACCAACTATAGAACTGAACTACAGCATGTCTGTAGTTCTTCACAGACATTAAAAGGCCACTTCTCAGCTTCATATGGAAACCAAACTATACCTAACCAAACAAAGCCAATGATATCTAAGACATTCAAGATTTTTATTTAAAAAAGAACTGCTGAATATCTAGCCATTCCAACTTTTGAGCTATATTGAAAAGTTATAGTAATAAAAACAGCATGGTATTGACAAAAAAACCACCAGAGATGTTGATCAATGGAATCAAGTTGAAGTCCAAAAAATAAATCCAGTCACATGATTTGTTACACAGAAACCCAAATTTAGCAGTGTAGAAAAAAGAACATCATGTCCAAATTATGTTGATCACACTAAATGTCTTCATGTAGAGGAATGCAAATTCATTCATATTTATTACCCTGCAAAAATCTCACCTCCTAATGGTTCAAAGTCCTTACTAAAAGGCCAGATAACCTGATCAGATAGAAGAGAAAGTGTGGGATAGCCATGCAATTGTTGGCACAGGAAAAGCCTTTCTGATTAGGATACACACAGGCACAACACAATTAATAAATAGAATCTCATGAAACATGAAATCTTCTCTATGGCAAAAGACACCATCATTCTGAGACAGTTTACAGAGTAGGAAATGGCCATTACCAGTTATACATAGGAGAGAGAGGGTTAGTGTCTAGAATATATAAAGAACTATAAATAAAAAACAAGACACCAAGAAAACAAGTACCCCAAGTAAAAACCAGGACGCATAAAACTAAAGAGACTTCTCAAAAGATGAAACACAAATAACTGAAAAGTCAACAGCTATAGCAATTGGGGAATTTGAAATGAAAACTACTTTGAGATTTTGACTTACTCCAGTCAGATTGGCCAAGATCAGTGAATCAAATGACAGCACATGCTGGTGAGAATGTCAGGAAAGAAGGGCATGCATTCTTTGCTGGTGGGAGTGCAAACATGTACCACCACTATGGAAATCACTGGAGGGGTTTCTCAGAAAGCTTAAAATTGATCTGTCATAACATCCAGCTATACTACTATTGAGCATATACCCAAATGACTCTACATCCCACTACAGAGACACTTGCTCATTCACGTTCTTTGTTATTCCATCCATAATAGAAAGAATTTAGAAACGGATTAGTTGACCAACAAGTAATGAACAGAAAAAGAAAATGTGGTACATTTCTGCAATGGAATGTTATTCAGCTGTCAAGAAAGGCAAAATTGCTGGGCAGTGGTGGCCCTCACATTTAATTCCAGCACTTTGGAAGGAGAGGCAGGAGGATCTCTTTGAGTTCAAGACCAGCTTGGTCTATCGGACATAGTTCCAGGACAACCTCCAAAGCAAAAGTAAAAACTTGCTTGAAAGAAAAAAAAAGAAATCAAAATTATGGAATTTTCAGGAAAATGGATGGAGCTAGAAATAATCATTCTGTGATTACCCAGAGAGAGAAAGATAAATATTGCATATTTCCTCTTACAGGTGGCTGTTAGCTTTTAAGTTTACATGTGTTTTTCAATCCAAATAACTGTAGAGGTCAGGAACTTAATAAGGGACCACAGTAGAGGAGGGGATCTTCAAAAGAAGGGAAAATGTAAAGTTCTGAAGTGTTAACAGAACACTGGAAGGCCTGAATAGGAACTGGTATGGGAAGGCAAGGTAAAGAGGGAATCAGGGTGGGGGGAGGCCTGGAACTACTACAGCAGGTAAGTCATAAGGAACTTTACTATGGTGGAAGCTTTCCAAAGTGTATACTTTGTCTTTAACTTTAGGCTTGTTTTATTTTTTGTTTGTTGTTGTAGTTGTTGTTCTCTCTCTCTCTCTCTCTCTGTGTGTGTGTGTGTGTGTGTGTGTGTGTGTGTGTGTGATAGGAGACACACAGAGAGTGTGAACATGAATTTATGTGGGAAGAGAAGTGAAAAGGATCTGGGAGGAGTTAGGGGGAGTGGAAAGTATATGACTGCAATATATGGTGGAAAATTTTAACAAAAAACATGAGTTTTTAAAAATGAATGAAGTTATATTGTTTCTTGGAAAATGGATGCACCCTAAGATCACCATAGTAAGCAAATTAAGACACAGAAAAATAAGTATTGTGTTTTCTTTCATTTATGATAACTATTTTGTATGGAAACATAGACTATTTTATAGAACATATATATAACACGAAAACAGGAAAAAACAAGGAAAATTGTAGCAGGAAGTAGAACACAGAAACTGAACAAAGTGAATTT